CCAAAATTCCGAGAGCCATCGGGGGGGGGGGGGCTCGACAAGATTCGAAAAGGACCCAAAGGAAAAATTCAAAAGAACGAGGCAATTTCCCGCGCGATGTCCGCGTCCAAAAAGATCGAAACCGAACCGAAAGAAACGACGTTGATATTTATTAATCGCGCGCACGTGGAGTCGCGCCAAACATCCATCCGACCAATCACTCAACCGGCCGTCCCAGGACACACCCAGCCCCGAAGAAGCGACGAAAAAGACGAAGAAGCAAGGGTGCTGATGCAATTTTCCACCTATCCCGATTTCCCGTAATTGGCCCAATCTTCCCAGCTTAGGACCCCTCGTTGCAACCGCGCAGAAACTCGCGCGTTACACAAAGTGGTTTGTCACATATGTGACGCCCAGGGGGTTCCAATATTAGCAAGCTTCTGCTTGCTTGTTGACATGTGTCGATTTCTCTAATCGATCGACACGCGGAGCACTTCACTTTATGCCACTTACCGTTCGATTGCGTGCGGACATCATCCAACGTGGCAGTTCTGCTCTTCTACTAGTTCCTCAGATTGGGCTCTCGACGATCCAAAGACGGGATCTTTCTCGTGTCGTCGCCGCGACACGTGCCCTCAACCATGCATCAGTGTAAACGGGGGGGGGGAAGGCCCTAGACCTTTTACGTTTCCGGGAAATGGTAGTCGGATCATCGAGGTGGCGGACGGTTTAGGGGGAGAGGGGGCATGAAGTGATTAATGGCGGGAGAGACGAAATTAGGAAGGGTAGCGTAGTGGAAGGAGCGATGGATGCGGGGGAAACGAGGGACCTCATGAAGATGACGAAAGGCGGTAATATAGTCGGGGTAGATGGTGGAGAGGGTTCGTCGCAGGGCGGCACGAAAATCTTCGTAATTTTCGTAGGCGGGAATAGTTCCAGACACAACACAGTATATTTCTACGTGGTTATATTCCCGCTAATCTGCGCTAAACAGGAGCACATGAAGGAGAAAGGAGTCAACCACAGAGCGAGTAGTGACGTGGGGATAGACGGAGACTAGAAGGCGGGTAGCGTAGAGATGGTAGAAAAGATGATGGGGGAAAGGGCACCAACCATCGGGGAACGGGGGTCTATGGGGAAGGCGGGTGAGCATGAGGTAGTCACGGGGTCGGCGAGAGAACGACCGGGGACAAAGCCCGACGGCCGAGATCTTGATGTAGACGAAGGGAGGATCGGGACGGGGAACCAGAGGGAGCTGGCGATTCACTTCTTCTTCTTCTTCTGCCGCGTGATCCCTCCGCTGTGGTTCCATCGTCTTCCTCCCCTGGCGACTCTGGATCACGCCACGGGTCCCCGATCGACGGATCGACAGAGGATACGTCTGTTGTGGGTCGCTTTCCCTCCGCGGTCTCCTGGCTCTTCCGTTTCCTCCGCTCTCATGCTCGTTCTCGCGCCGTGTCGCGCACTTCAGCTTCGAATCCTTCGCACTCCGATCCTGATAGCCCGCTTCCTTCTTCTTCTTCTGATTCCACCCCTTCGTCCTTTACCTGCGACTGATTTGATTCATCGGCTATCCCCGCCTCTCTTTCTGGTACGTAGTCCGGATCGTCCCGTTCCTCACTTGATGACTCTTCTTCTTCCTCTTCTTCGTCCGATCCCCTTATCTCCTCGTCCTGCGCGATGTTTTGTCTCGCAATCGGGTCCCAAAATGTGAGATCGGTAACGTCGATCTCCAAGTAGAGCGCCTGGGAGGGATAGAAACAATTGTCCTCGTCGATTTCCGTGCACGTGGACCACATAAGGTGCGGCTCGAGCGTTCGAGACAGCACGTGGGTGCCAGGCTGCTTGTCATTGTGCGACAAGATGTCCAGGGGCAGATCGTCCGCTAGCTGAGTCAAAAATACCAGCAACTCGTCCGTGATCAAGGTGAGATTGCCCTCCTCTACCTTCCCGAACAAAAATCCCAGCAGGTCACCTTGCTCCGCTGTCCTCCAGGCTTGGATGATCAAAAACTCCACGCTGTCTTCTGGGTGCTCCGGCTCTTCTCCGAATGGGGCCGCCTCTGACCAGCGGAACTCTATCTCCAGTAGGCAGAAAGCGAGCTCGATATAGTTCTCCCACCACGCGTCCCACTTCTCCTCACTCAATAGCGGCGCACTGTTCTCCTTAACACCATAGGAGAGGGTGGGAGCCCGCGTAGACTGCCAAAGGGTGGGGATGCTGGAGGGGAGGCTGAAATAGGAGACGCGACGAAGACTCATTGGGGCGGCTCGAAGGGACGAAGCTCCGGAAGCACGATCGCGGGTGATCTTCGAGACGAGCGGAGATGGAGGTCCGTATCATACGCCGGTACGATGGTATCCCCTCGTCGAGCCAAAAGATCCGTCCACTCCGTCCTCACTTCCCCAGCCCAAGTGCGCAATGTCCGATAGATGTCAGAATGATTCGCCGACGGAATCGCTGTGATATCCCCCGTAAAGACGACAATGACAGCGGTATGGCTAGAGGGGATAGTCGTCGAAAGGTCGAGATCTCGGCCAGAACGCGCGTAGTTGCTTCTTCTGCAAATTGGAACTTTGCCGCCGCGTAGATCGCCGACGTACTGAAGAGAGCCGCAAACCGGAGGAGATCCGAGCAGAGATGGGGCCGCTGCACCTGCCGTATGACACTGATTCGCCCCCGCGGAGTAAGAAGCCGCGCGCCGATCACTTGTTCTGTCGCAAAGCTCATGGCGATGGTGTCGGGGTAAGAGAGAGAGAACAGGAGGGAGACGGAGAGATAGGAGAGAGATAGTCGTCGCCTTCCCTATCGGAGGAGGAGGAATCGGATGGAGGCGAAGATGAAGAAGGAGGAAGGGGACGGAGGTAGGATACGTGGCGGATGATTAGTCGAGCCGATCGGCTGACGGAGACCTCGGGCGCAAGTCGCATGGTGTTCACACCGTTCGGTCCGAGTTCGATCACGCGAAATTGCCCGAAGAATCGTGGCGCTAGCTTACCCTGGCGAGCACATTTCCTCACCTGTACCACGTCCCCCAATTTGTACTGGGGCCGTGGACCCGCATTCCCATTTCGGGCCTCGTAGCTCCGGACCTGTCGGCCTTGGGCTAGTTCGGTCATTTTCTGTCGTTTTCGGGCTAGCCTGGGCAGTGACCGTTCCATTAGCTCTAGGTGCCATTTGGCCTTGTCCTGAGCCGTAGCTCTGGTGGGCCGTCGGTTCAATGTAGACTCATCCGGGAGGCTTGGTATCGAAACACAAGTGACACTATTGGTCCTTAATTGGGAAGGGCTCAGCCGCGTCAACTCGTGGGGCGTTCCGCGATGGACCGCCAGGATGTGATCGACGATATCGGGCCAGGGTCTCGGATCCCGTGCCGTGATGTTTCGTCGCAACGCTGCCTTTATCATCCGGTTAGCGTTTTCGACCAGTCCGTTAGATTGTGACATGTGGGGTGCCGTGTTCCGTATGGCGACGCCATGTAGGACCAGATTCCTTAACACTTCTCCCCTGAATTCAGCCCCGTTATCGGTCAGGATCTCTTCCGTATCCTGATGCATCCCGAGGAAACGGTTGGCATATTGCGCGATTTCCGTGGCTTGCCGCGTGCGACAAGGATACGCTTCGATCCATTTTGAGAAATGGTCGACAATTGAATATTCGCAGCTATTAGGGCCAGGGGGCACCACTATGTCGGTAGTGTCCATGCTCACTCTTTGAAATGGACGTTCAACAACCTTGGGCACTATCGATCTTGGCGGCTGAATCGGCGCCTTATCGGCGGCGCAGACTTGACAGTTGGCGACAATGTATTTCACATCGTCGCGAATATTGGACCAATACCACTCATTTTTGTCGATAGCGGACTCGGTGATTCGTGCAGCAAAATGAGCCGCAGTTTCCTCGTGGGCTGTCTTAACCCAGTCATACCGCATGAATGGATGCGGTACCACCATCCAAATCCCATTGCCGTCCGTTTTCCGTTTTTCTAATCTGCCCTCTATCCATCGATAATCCTGAGCCCTTTCGTTGACCCTCCTCCGATCTTCCTTGGTGAAATCCTGGAGGGGGTTACCTACTAAGGTGGCGATTAAGGCGATATCCGTCCATACTTCGGCCCTTCTAAACTTTCGGGTCTTCTCCAACGCTTCTGACGTGGCGTCCAAAAAGCGAGCCTCGGTCGAAATCTTGTCGGTCCGGCACAAGGGGCACAACCACGGTTTACTATCGTTTCTGTATTGGATGCACGAGCCATGGGCTCGTGCGACACACTGTCGACAATCTATCCAATCGACATACCCCTCCCCGTTAGGACACATGGAGACCGAATAGACGCGGGAGATGGCTTCGCAAAAATAGTAAAATTTGTCAGCCAGGGAGAGGAGAGACGAGAAGGAAGGGGGAGAAAGAGGGATAGTGGGGTTACCTCCATCACCCATCGCCACCGTTTTGCTTCTTGCCACGTGGGAGAACTGCCACTTCTCCGTACTTTGGCTCATTAGTCAGGTCCGGCTCTTTCCACGGTGTAATTTCCTCGCCCTTGGGTACCTTGGCAGGTCGATGTAGACGTGTCAGCCCGTTCGCGTTGCCGTGTCGCTCTGTCTTTCGATGGACGATATCGAAGTCGTATTCTTGCAGTCGCACTGCCCAACGGCCAATCATGCCCGTGTAATTGGTGAGCTTCTTCAAAGTTAGCAGAGGCTCGTGATCCGTCACGAGGCGAAACTTCTGTCCGTAGAGATACGGATGGAAGTGCTGGATTCCCCAGACCACTGCATAGCATTCGCCTTGAGGTGCGGAGTCGTTCCTTCGTTCGTCCGACACGGTTCGTGACGCGTACTCGATGACGTGTTCGCGACCATCGTTCCCCTTCTGTGCTAAAATAGCGGAAATAGTTTCCGGTTGCCAGTCCGTGATGAGAATAAACTGCTTCGAGGGGTCCGGTCGAATCAGAATAGGGGCCGTCGCCAGAGTGTCCTTGAGGGTTGCAAAGGCTTGCTGGCACTCCGCGTCCCAGCTGAGAGGCTGGTCCTTCCGTAACAGATTCGTTAATGGTCGTGCAATCGCGGCAAAGCCCTTGATGAAGCGCCAGTAGTACGACGCCAATCCCAAGAAGGCTCGAACCTGCGTCAGTGACGTGGGAACCGGGGCTTCCTTCAACGCCGCAACTTTTCTCGAGTCCGGCCGCAATCCTCCACGTGTCACGACGTAGCCCAAGAACGAAATTTCCGAGAGGAAAAATTCGCTTTTCTCGAGCGCAATCTTGAACCCAGCATCTCTCAGTGCGCCCAATGTCCATTCAATATGTTGCGCGTGCCCGTGATAGGTTTCCGAATAGACCAGGATATCGTCCATATACACAATCACGCAGAAGTTAATCATCCCTTGCGTCAATCGTGTCTTGTTGACGAAATTTTGGAACGTCATATTCATTGCTTGCTGAAATGTGGCAGGCGCATTGCAAATTTCCATCGGACACCGAACCCACTGCCACGTGCCCTCAAACAACACAAAGGCCGTTTTCGGCCGATCTTCCTCCTTAACCAGAATGTGATGGAAACCATGCCGAATATCAAACTTGCTAAAGTAGTTAGCACATCCAATCACATCCAGCAAATCATCAATCCGGGGGAGGGGATACACATCTTTGATCGTGATCCCATTCAGCTTGCGATAATCAATGCAAATGCGAATCGCTCAATTTTTCTTCTGTACTAATACTACGGGAAAGGACCAAGGTCCGGTAGCGGGTTCAATCCAACCACTGGCTTCGAACTCCCGAATTCGTTCGAGAGCCTTTTTGCGTTCAATCAAGGAATAACGATAAGGTTTGCAATGAATTGGGGAGTGATTTCCTGTCTGAATTTCATGTTGGATTACTAGCGACAGCCCGATGTCAGTGTCTAACACACTAATTGCTCCTTGGTATTCCGTTAGAATATCCGCAATTACCCGGTGGATTTCATCCGGCACATATTGTGGAACGTGCAGTTCAAAAAGTTGGTCCCAGATCTGAACGTCAATTTGTTTCGTGTTCGCCTGTTTTGTCAAATCGGGTGGAGGCGCGGAGATGAATGAATGATCCGATCACCAGGAGAACACCGTGGCCATCATCTGGGCATCTTCTTCTCGGATTGCAATGTGTCCTTCCGGGGTAATCCCATCGCAAACATCCTGCCATGGCACTTCCTTAGTCGCGATCTTTATGCCCAGTCCGTCTGTTTCTGTTTCAAAATGCCCAGAGGGTTCCAAAGAGCTTGCTTCCGCCCCCAAGCGTAATAATCTCACTTCTTTAGCCGATGTTAGTAAAGACTTAGGTAGTTCCGTAATGTCGCAATAATGCTTTTTGTCGCTATACCTGGCGAGGAGAGGGGTGATACCTTCGTGGGTTCCAAAGAGTCAATCATCCTCGAAATCTGCACGAGGGGCTCTCCCAAGATCATCGCCTTGGTCCTTTGAATTTTTCGGCTGGTCAGTTGCATCGTTCTCGCTATCGTTTTGGGCGGTGGGTAACAAACACGTTGTCGTGCCAATTTCAAGATCTTCGGATCATCCTCGTCACTGCTTTCCGCATCTTCAGTTGATGACTTTCCTTCTGCGGGTTCGTCACAGGAGATCATGCGGAGAGTCCCTACCATCATCGGTGAAACCCTCGGAACCGCGTTAATAGTAGTGCGAAGGGTCTATCGCATGGGCACAGCGTAGGGTTTTCCCCCTGTATTTCAAAGGACGATCGATCGTCGTTCGAAATCCAGGTTTGCTCGTAATGCCACAAGAGCGGGAAGTCCGAAAAGAACGTCGTACGTATTAACATCTAGTACTACGACATCCCCAAGCGCGTGTACTTTTCCTGATCGAAAGGCGACATTGGTCATTCTCCCCACAGTTTTAATTTTTTCCTCATCAGCCGAAACGAGTTGATCTTTCTCGGTGAGCATGATCAGATCGTTTTTCCTGCCTTCCCTTTCGACCACTCTAAGTGAAATAGCCAACACGGATGCTCCTGAGTCTATAATGGCGTTGTAAGGAATTCCCCAAATTTCTATATCGCACTCTGCGGATTTCCACGGAATGGGTTTAATCCGCAACAAATGATCGTCTTTCTGAATTAATCCTACCCGTATCGGATCCGGAGTGCCTGTTGGGTTTTCTTCCGGCGCGGGGCCTTTGGTTTTTGCGTTTGGTGTTCGGGCAAGGGCGAATCGCTTCCGATTCGCTTTGCAATGCTGCAACATTCGCTCGTTGGCTTGCTCGGAGATCGAGAGTAGATGACCGATCGGAAGGGGAATCCGATGGTCCAAGGCTCGGACGATGTTTAATACATCGATTTCTCCTGTGACGAAGGTGGGTCCTCCCGACTCCATTTCTCCTAAGGACGGTCGCCACTCCGCCACCTCTTTTGGTTTTGGCGCTGGTCTGATTGTCCCGATCATTCCAAGCCCAGGATATCCCAACGATACATACTGATCTAGCGGGATTAGTTCGGCGGCCTCTTCCGAGGTAGCCAGGGCACTTCCCCCACCCTCTACTTCTTCCATCAAGGCTCCTACTCGTCCAGGTCCGTTGGCGATGGGAGCCGCGGCCATGGGTGCGGCTCCCATCCGCTGTTGTGGGGGCCGGTGGGGGCAATCACGGGCTAGATGGCCTGGTTGATGACAGGCGTAACAGCCATTCAGATTGTTTGCGACTCCTTCGAGCGCAGGGGCCGGGGCTAATCCTTGCTGCATCGGAGGGGCACGCACCGCAATGGGTCGCTTGTTCCTCATCATGGCTTCTAGCCGAGCATTGTGCTCTCGCTGCTCCTTTTTGCTTTCTTGGATCAGACTAATCAAGGTTTTGGTTAGTGCGAAAATGGCCGCCGATTCGTTTGATCGTACAGGCGCCTCAACCGGTGGTGGGGGTAATGCCCTGACGGGCGGGGGCATCATAGGAGCAGAGGTGCTCAGAGTCTCACTTAGGATTACTCGTTTGGGGCCTATCTATTCCATATAGGTGACAGGTCCTGATACGAACCCCATGTTTTCAAATTTGTTCTGTAAAGCAGCCAGCTCTGCTCTGGCTCGAGCGAGCTCGGTTGAATCTCCGTCTCTAGGGTAATCTTCTCCTTCCAGGTCGTTCGCCGCGAACTTCCGTTCCATTTCTTCCGCAGCAGCCATAATTTGTTGTAGTGTATGAGTGATGGGGGAAAATTGCTTTCGCAACTTTGCCCTTATCGTTCGACTGCGGAGTCCGTCAATGAACAAGTCTCTCCCGACTTGCTCACCTCGCTCAGTCTTTACGAACATTCTGTAGAACCGGTTTCGATATTCCGCAACAGATTCGAGCGGTTTTTGCACTCAATCCTTGATCATGTACAGCGCTTGCTCGGGGTGGACATAATCGAATCGGTTCATAAAGTCCCGTTCGAAGGTCGAGAGATCCCCCCACACATAGGTACTATACCAGTGATGAGCGTCTCCTCCCATTCGAGCCGGAATGCTGATTTGTGCTTCGTGATCGTCGTACTGTTGTGCTCTAAGCGTGGGCATCCATGCTCCTGCGAGATGGTGTGCTGGATCAAACAGATAGAGATCTGGTGGTGACATGGGAGCTCGTGCACGTGGGGCAGGTTGATTAGGTGGATTAGCATTTTGTTGCGGAACCGGATTTTGCACATTGGTAGCCATATTGGCTGCTCGTCGGTTAGCCGATCTGCTTCTCGTGATGATAGGGTCGCGTCTATATGCGTTCCGCGGGCGAGGTCGCCCACGGTTAGCCAGGTCGCCAAGTTAACGTGCTATTAATCCTGAGACCCTAGCCACGTGTCGGGCTCCGATACCAACCTCACACCCAGCGCGACTTCCTGATCGGAGTTGAGGGTGGGCCTGGAAGTGCGAAAAGGGGTGTGTGTGTCAAGGATTTTTGGGGGAAGTGGGGGAGTCTTAAGGATATAAATTCAATTAGGTGAGCGAGGGGTGCGCACGCAAGGGTCTCACAGCCCGAAGGGGCCGGGACACTGTGGGCGATGGGTTACGGGAAAATTCCTCCGTGGTGGAGGTGGTCTCGGAGAGTTAGGCCGTCGGGGGCCGCCGCGTATTTGGGTTGGGCCTTCGGAATTCCGGAGTGCTCGGCGCGCTGCTGCATCGACAGTTTACACAAACGTATTGGGCCAATAGGGGGCTATGGCCGGCCACGGAACGACTCTGAGTTAATGATATGGGAGAAGGAGGCGGAAAGGAGGAAAATTGGTGGTGATCTCAATGATTCCTGGATGGGTGAAGTAGTACGTGTGGTCGGGGGAAGGGAGATCGGAGCACCGAGGGTCGCTAGTGGTGGCACAGTGGAATTCCTGCGGACAAAGCCAATTCTCCGTGTGACAGGGGTATCGTGCCCTTATGAGCTCGTTTACTGTAGGGGTGAAATAATCTGGGTCATAGGATGAGTCTGAGCCCCAAGATCGCGTCATGGTTTCATCGTCGGTGGGATAGCGCGGGTCGGGATATCGTCACCACGCATGAGCACGTGTCGGATGGGCGAACTTAGTTGCGCCCCGGCGTGCTCGTGCGGGATGGTGGTTCCACCGCGAGTCCTGTCTGGGCGGGTGAATCGACGCACGGGAATGCGTGTAAGGGCGCGACTCGGATCGCGTTTACACATGTTCTCGCGCGGCGTTCACAGGGCCAGATTTCGGATCGTCGATTATGCAAGATGTAATCATAACACAATCCCCATGATGAGATAAGCAGAATGAGAACAAACCCACTATCGGGATCGGATTCCTATCCCATCTACAACGACATCAGGCGCAGGCAAAAGGTTCGACACAGACATAACACAGGGATTCTCAGCAAAAGATAGACAAGCAGTCCCCTCATCCATACATTTGACAATCATACACGTAATGCAAGCAAAACGGACATCGCGAAGACAAATATGAGCAAAAATCCAAGCCCAGATTTCAGAAAGCCGAAACGAAAAATAAGAACGGGCAAACCGCCCGGAGCCGCAGTCAAAATGTATGTACACAAATGAAGAGGGG